TTAGAATTAAATCCAAGATAGAATTGTTATATACATTATTACAGACAAGACATTCTAATATGTATTCATGCAATGTAAAGCTTTCGACATGAACTATTTTATAAAATTTTAAATATAGTGATGAGAATTTTTGGTTAATCTTAAATAAAATTATATCTTATTTACTTATGTTTAAATTTAGGCTATGCTACTGCTGGACAAAAAGGTGAACCTGGTTCAGGTGGTCGTGATGGTAAGAAAATACGATAATCAAATGAAATAAACTTTATTTGTTTGGTTTTGTTTTTTTTAAACAGGCATGCCAGGTCTTTCGGGAGAGAAAGGGTAAAGTTTAACTAATATAAAAAAACTAATCGGAAATGCAACTATTTTTTCTCTGTATAGAAACCCAGGTTATAATGGAGGTCCTGGTAATCCTGGCCGAGATTGTGATACACCTCTTCCTGGACAAGTAAGTCAATAAATAGATTAAATAAACAAATAATTATTCTTGATATAATTTAGAAAGGTGACTCTGGTTTACCTGGTCTTCCAGGTCCTCCAGGTTTATCAGGTAAGTTTTCTTTTTCTCTTTCTTTTAATTCATTGTCTGTTGTTTATTGATAGGTGCTCCTGGTGCACAGGGCAAAGATGGTTAGTATATAATATAGTTAAATCTTTGGAAAAAATAAAAATTATATTGAATAATATTTTAGGTCTTCCGGGAGCCCCAGGTCTTCCTGGTTTATCAGGTGCCAAAGGATTTGATGGAGCACCAGGTAGAAATGGTGGACCAGGTCTTCCAGGTATATTTATTAAGATAATAATTAAACAATAATAATAATAATCAAAATTTATATTTTTAGGTGACCGTGGTTTTGCTGGCATGCCAGGTTTGTATAATGAAAAAGTTCTTCATTTAAAAATTTTATTTTTTTGAAAATTTCAAGGTCAACCTGGTTTACCCGGAGAAAAAGGTGAGATTATAATTTGCAAACGATAGTATAATAATTAGTTTGATTCTATTTTTTCTAGGAAATCCTGGATTCCCAGGCGGTCCAGGTATGTATATTAGATAAATGTTTAAATAGAAGTTTTATCTCTTATGTTCAATTTCAGGTCTTGCCGGACAAAAAGGTGATCGTGGTTTCGATGGACGTCCCGGTTCAAATGGTTTACCAGGTAAATTATTTCTTTCATTTTGAAAAAACAAAACAGAAATTTACTTTTTTTATTTTATTCAAATAAATAGGTACACCCGGTGCAAGAGGTGAGTGTGGTCCACAACAAGCAGTTCAAGGCCTACCAGGTTCTAAAGGAGATCAAGGTCAACCAGGATTCCCAGGTAATAAAATAGATTTCAATGTCTTTCTTTTTTTTATACATTTTCTTTTTATAATTTAAGGCTCACCAGGATTATCAGGATCACCAGGTATGTATATATATGAAATCTATTTTCTTTAATTAATTATGTATATACATATATATTAATAGGTCAACCTGGTCCACGAGGAGAGAATGGTCCACCAGGCCAACCCGGTCAACCAGGTTTACCAGGTTATGTTGGACCTAAAGGTGAACGTGTAAGTATATTGAAAACAAAAACAGAACTGTTTTTTCCAAATTTATATTTATATTTAGGGTACTGGAGGTATTCCAGGTGTTAGCGGTATTGCTGGTCCACCAGGTACTGAACTTGTTAATCATTGATAATAATAATTTCTTTTTTGTCTTTATTAAATTTCAGGTCCTAGCGGTCCTCCTGGTCCACCAGGTCCTGGTCTTCAACGAACTGGTTTCTTGGTTGTACGTCATTCACAATCATCTCAAGTACCAGATTGTCCATCAGGTATGGTTCGATTATGGGATGGTTACAGTTTACTTATGATGCAAGGCAATGATCATGGTTATCATCAAGATCTTGGTAAAATACCAATATTCTTTTTTAAATAAATACAAATTTTTTATATATTAAATTTCAAGGTTCGGCTGGTTCATGTCTTCAAAAATTTTCTGCATTACCATATCTACGTTGTGATCATACAAATGTTTGTTATTATGGTCAAACAAATGATTTAACATATTATTTATCAACAACAGAACCAATGCCAATGATGCCTGTTCAACGTGAACAAATTCGACCATATATATCACGTTGTGCTGTATGTGAAGCACCAGCTAATGTTATGTCATTCCATAGTTTATCAATGACACCACCACCATGTCCAAATGGTTGGAATATTCTATGGCAAGGTTATAGTTTTGTTATGGTAAGTATAAATAAGATTTTGAAATATAAAAATATATATTGATTATATTTTTTGAAAAAAGCATCTTGGTCGTGGTGCACAAGGTGGTGGACAATCATTAGCAAGTCCTGGTTCATGTTTAGAAGATTTTCGTGCAACACCATTTATTGAATGTTCAGGAACAGATGGAAATTGTATGTATTATGCTAATAAATTTAGTTATTGGATGACAGTTATTGATCAAAATAATCAATTCGAAGTACCACGTCAAGAAACATTAAAATCTGGAAATCATAGAAATAAAATAAGTCGTTGTACGGTTTGTTTGAAAACTCAACAAAGTGCTGGTCAAGGTGGTTATCAAAATGGCAATTATTATGTTGGACAAACATTGAAAAAACATTAGACATTATTAACTAAATTTTTCTTTTTTTTTTTTTTATTCTTTCTTTTTCTTGATTTTCATTTGTAGTTGATGGCAACGGATTGATTTATTTCAAATCATATATACATATCATTATGATTTGAGATATGTTTGAAAAGGGAAAGGAATTATAATAACATAATGCGATAATTTAACTGCATTTTGCCATCATCTTTTATATTCCCTCTGTGTCATTTTGTTAACTATTATATCATCATCATCATCATCATACAGTACAAGTTCTTTTTTTTTTAATTTTATCTTCATTTATTTTGCGCGTAATTTTCTTCTTTTTTTGCTGTATTCTGGATCTTTTACACAATACATATAATCACGACACATACAATTTCATATTTTATCAAATAATGTGTACTTGTTTTGTAGGTTTGTGTAAAGGTCTGCTATTATCAATCTTCTTTTTTTTTTTCATTGTCTTCATTAATCTCTCTGCTCTTTTTTTTTCATTCTGATGTCAATCAGCTCATAGTGTTAGAGTGAGTGTATGAAAGAAAGATATACGTGTGTTTGATTTGAATTTCTTCTTCTTTCTCTTTTTTTTCTTTCAATAATAAATATCAATAAGTATTCTAAAATACAATTCATCTAAAGATTTTCATATATATATATATATTATGTAAGAAATATATCATGTTATTAAATAATACATTTAGCAATTTGAATGGCCCATTTCAACTGAAATTTTTAGGAATAACAAGTGACCTCCTAGTGAGAACCGTTTCTGGTAAAAGTTTCAGCCTGATACGTGTTTTCAAGAGAATTCCTATAACTCCGCCATCACGAGAGGTATAGACCTCGGAGAGTTTTTAAATTAAAGCTAATATTTGTGCGCAGTTTTTGTCAGAGCAGAATTTTGAAATGCACTTTTATTTTTATTATGATTTTTTACAATAAACAAAAAGAAAAGGTGACTTCCGAACACTAAATTTTGCTTTTCTCAATACAGAAATCAATTATAAAATATCGGATCAGACAAAAATTTGCTTTCATTTAGCCCTATAAAACAAAAAAAAAAAAGATTAGTTATATATTCAAGCCAGATGAATTTTACAGCCAAACTGGCAAAAATAATCGATCGTGAAAGTATCTATTCACATAAAATGGTGACGAAGGGGGATTGAATATTCACGTGTAGAAATCCGAACTAACGGTGATCAATTTGCATTCAGAAAAATTTGATAAATTCAAAAATAAATTAACAGGAAATCCCCATCCCTAATCTGAACTGGAAACTAAAACTCGGAAATGAAATTCTCATCATCGTATTTTATTGCAAAATGCATCGATTGTTCGAGCACCCGATATCAATATAAATTAGCTATTTAGATCAAATCTATTTTTCATCTTAATTTCCAAAAACAAAACAAGTTTATAACAAATCTAATACAAAATTGTAAATATTTATTTTTCTTGATTCAAACAACTGCCTAAGCAGAACAAGAAAATAAATTATTTGATCTAGGTTAGATTGAGCTAATACACGAGAAAGAAATCGATAGAGCTATAAAAAGAACAATCAATCGTTTATAGTCACGTTGAAGACAAGATATCTATTGAGTCTTTCGCAAACATATTCTTCTGACTTGAAAATTTCATAAAAACATCGTTTTCAGTAGAGAAAATTCTTGAGTGCAAATAACAATTTTGTAATGACGAACTGGCAAAAGTTCGATCCTGTCTGGCTCGGAACCAGATAGACGGGCCGGTTCTAATTCTGCTCTATAACATTTAAACCCAACTTCGATTTTTTTTTTTGAGTAAATGGATTTTCTAAGATCGTGGTTGAACTCTTAAATTAAGATCTATTTTTAATAATTGCTGCCATATGCGCCTCTTTTTTCTTTCATTAAGGATCAATTGCATAATCGCCTTTAACATTGATATCAATATAAATTAGATATTTAATATCTTCTTTCATAGTAAAAGTAATATACTTTCTTCTATCTTGGAATTCTAATGATCCGTACAGTATGCTAAACAAATTAGATAATTTTCAGTTGCATAGTTAACTTAATCTGAATTCTATACAGGAAACTGTAGTAAATAAAATCTGATGTAAAAAATCATCATTTATTGTCTTTGATATCTTTAATAATAGATGTATACGAATCTGCAAAAGCATCTGTAGATTTTTAACCATAACCAAATGTCTCTCAAATCAATTAATAATTTATTCTTTGATATACTATCAAAAATTATTGTATTCACTATTAAAGATTAAACAGAAAATTGTCAATGTTTTCTATCAATATAGAATTTTTTTTTACTAAAATTTATTTTTTACATAATCAACAAATAACACGAACATGACAAAATGTAACTTATTTCCATTAAACAGTATTACAACAATTATCATTTGATTGTTGTTTTGAAATAGAATCTATAGAATTTAGAAAAGAAAAATTAATAAATAATAATAATAATAATAATAATTAAAAATTTTTTACCATTTGTTAGATTAAGATTAGCAGCTAATTGAGTTTTTGTAGTTATTTTTTCAATAGATGTATTTGGTGAAGTTAATTGTTGTTTAACTAACATTTGATATGACACACAAGCAACACGTTTAAAAAATTCTTCAACTTGATAACCTAAAATTTATACTTTATTTTATATCTGTTAATTATAATTCTTACCTGTCAATGATGAAATAGACCAAAATTCTGCATTAACACGTTTAGCAACTATACGAGCTAGTTGTTCAGTTTTTGTAAAAGTTTTCTTATCTGTCTAAAAAAATTAACGAAATATTTTCATATGATAAAAAATTTTAAACTTACTATTAAATCACGTTTCGAACCAACTAAATATATAAGAGGATTATCGGTTATTGTTATTTGTAATGCTTCATTAATCCAACGTTCAGCACTTTTCAATGTATCAAGATCATTCATATCAAATACTGCTATGATTACATGTGCACCACGGTAATAAGCAGCTTTTTTTTTTGTTTTAAAAAACCCGAAAGATATTAATATTCAATAAAAAAAAAATATTTACCTGCAATACATTTGAATCGTTCTTGTCCAGCAGTATCCCATATTTGTAATGATAAGGGTGCACCCAAAATTAAAAATCGTTCAACTTCAAAATCAACTCCTATTGTTGCTTTATAATTTCGATCAAATGTCTGATGACATAATCTAAAAAAATTTTAATTTTTTTTAATAAAATTTTTTTTGTTTAATATTTATTATACCTTGTAGCTAAACTTGATTTTCCTACAGCAACATCACCAATAAGAACTAATTTACAAAGAAGATTACTAGAGAATGACGAAATAAAAATTTATTAAAAAAAAAAAACAAACAAATTTGTTTCATACGATGATTTTTGACTACGTTGATTTGTTGAATAATTAATAACATTTTCATCAAAACTTGGAATCGGATCTATTGATGATAGATAACCATATGGCTATAAAGAAAAATTCTAAATAAAATAACATTAAAAAAAAATAGTATTACAGGTTCAAATTGATCGATTTTTCGATCACTTGATATTCCGTTTGTAAGATTAGATATTGGCATTTATGATTCAGAGGAAAAAAAAAAGTTTACATTTATTTATTCTAGATCTATATTGTTACTTAGCAATACTCTCTCTGTCTCGTGATAATTGAACAAACGGATACGAGTGGCATCTTAAGGATGCATTTGGAAGAATTTTATTATTGATAATTGCATTGTTGAATCAGCTGAGTTCATAAGCATTTTGTTCATTCATAGATCAATTTTAGGAAATGAAAATTAAATTTTCAAAAAAAAAAAAGATATTTCAGTCAGCATTATTAATAATGATATAACTTTTAAGTGCATCATTTTCACCATAGTGTTCTGATGATTGTCTAATAGATAATAGAATATCTCGGCGTTATTCTTTATTTCTTATATGTGCTATTAGCTGATTAATAACAGCAAGAAAAATATCGAATCAATTTATAAAATTGATGAAAATATTTTTCATTTGGTTATTTACAAATGGCTATAATTATAATTTAAAAAATAGCTAAAATCTAGAGTAACGATGATGACATAATAATGATTTCTTTATTTGCGATAAAGATTTAACTTTCATTGGTATATGCTGTAAGACTCTTTACTATACATTCTTGTTTTTCTTCACGTATTCAATGTTATAGTCATCTTCACACTCAAAAAAAAAACGACTTTACCTTCTACCTACTTTCGTCAATCTTCGAAAGTTGTCGTTCTCGGAAGAAAAATCCAAACAACAATACTTTTTCTTTCTTCTTGTTCGCTTGATGAAAAAAAGGTGCATACACACCCTCACCGTGTCGTTGTATTTTAGTTAACAGTAAAGAAAAAAAAACACCAAACCGACTGCTTTCAGGCAATTGAAGCAATTGAAAATTGAATAACAACTATTAAAACACATTATTGGTAAAAGTAAGTATTGTTATGTTCTACAAAAAAAAATTAGACATGTTTTTATTCAAGTCTTACTATATTTGAGTCTTTCTGTTTATTGATCTGTATGAATTAGATAGTTTAACAAAGCTGAGTATTTTTCAAGTTCGTACCTTTTTTTTGGAGTATTCGGACCGAAAACCTACGAACTGAGTGGCGAAAGCATTGACTGAGACCGCTTTTATAAGAAAACAAGTAGGTTATGTGTACCAAAACGAAATGAGTATGTGATACATTATTGATTTCATACACAATGTATCTGTCAACAATAGAAAGAAAAGATAACGTTAAAATTTACAAAAACATGTGACAGGCTCGAAAAATTAGAGTCTGTGCCTGTCTAAACTGTGCAGCTCCAATGGCCTGTTTTGGGCTATGAATAGTATTAAAAAATGGTGCACGTTCTTTTGCAGTGCACCATTTTTATTCCATTGTTGTGCCACTCATTCGTTGTGAAAGGAGTAATATTAGCTATAGAAATGTTATTGCTGTGCACTTTAGCGTATGGTATGATTCTGTAATTTTTACTTGAAAAAAATTTTGCTGCGTATTATTATTAGAATGATGGCTTCATCAAATCGTTGTTCAATATGTGGAAAACGAGCAGGTACTTGTTTTTGCCCTGGTTGTAAAACGTACTTTTGTGATGATGACTTTCAAAGTCATCGTGGAATATTACTCAATGAATTAGATGGACTTACAATAGATCGGAATGATCTTCAAGCAAAATTAAACGAGGCTGCTTCAAACAAACAGCCTAGTGAACACCTTCTTGCACAAATTGATGAATGGCAACGAACAACTATCGAGAAGGTGAAACAAGCTGCTGAATTGGCTCGACAACAGGTCTTCAAAATCGCGAATTCCAAACGAGAAGAAATTACAAGACAGTTTCAAACGCTGTCTCAAGAATTGAAGGAATTACGAGATACAAAAGGTGTTGTTGAACAGGATTTAATTCGATTGAAACAAGAAATTCATCAACTTAATGAAGATTTAAAACCAGTAGCGCAATCATCGGCCATCGAACTGAATATGGAACAGAGTGATAAAATCGTATGGCAACACATGATATATGTCGAAGAAAAATCTGTATCTGCTGGTAACCAACCGCGCCAACCAAAACCAGCGGGTAAGCATTTCAATAAAGTCTGCAACGGAAGCTTTGAGCAATATTTGTTTTTTTTACTAACTACTCAAGTTTTTTTTACCCTTTCGTCTACAAGAAGACCATAGCATGAGAAAAATCAGTATAAGAATCTTTTAATTATGAAAAATATGAATCAAAAAGTCTTCTGTTAGTTATTACGTGATTTATTATACATTGCGAGAAAAAAACGATCAAAGCAACATCACATGTTATATACAGCATCTAAATTGTTATATTTCTCTGCTGTAGAGCTGAAAGATGAATTAAGATATTTTGATGAATTTTTCGTTTCTTCCTAATGTATATAATTGTCATAGAAGTAAGTAAGTCTAAACTCTATTAACATAGTGAAATAGACCAATTTCCAACAGAAGAATACATATTTATAACGAACAAGATCTGTTTTAGATGCTGTTTGAAGTTTATAGTGGTGCTGAAAAAAAACCATCACATTAAAATTCAATAAATCTCACCAATATAATTAGATCCAATAAAGCATCCCTCCCATGATATCTGTCACTATTTTCGACTTTCCTTATGTTACTCTTGACTACATTACGAACATGCTTATTCAATCTTGTCCATTTCTATGTACTAATACTATGGTAAACACTACAAATCTTCGTTTTCAATCCTTAATCTCTTTGATAAACTATTTTTAACTGAAACAATATATAGAGGGTCAGTTTTTTCGAAGTCAACCATTTTTCAACTGATCATAGTTATTAGAAGATGATTTAGGTAGATAATTGAAAAAAATCTTATCAACTATAATTTGTATGAATTTTTAAGATATTTTGCAATCCACTATCTATATTCGAAATAGTTTCTAGTCAATCAGACAGATCCTTAGAAGTTGTCACTAAGCTCGGATTTCTATTCAATGCATTTTGAGGAGCACGAGTTAAACTGCTTTTAGACTTCATCAAACTTCAAGCGATCAACTGTACACATGCACTCATTACCAAGAGAAGTTATATGCCTTGCTTATTTCCTTATAATGTCAATGTATGGTGAAAACCAGAATAGAGACGGCTTATGGTGAACTCAAATGATATCTGAAATTTACACTTGCTAACTAATAAATTTTCTTGAATGCAGGAGATATTTAGCTATCCTTGAGTGAGACACTTTAATACATCAAAACTTTTCAAGTATCATATTGATTATGACATTGCCACAGACCAGAATCCATTGCCAAGCAACAAGCTTTATTAACGAGAAATCAATTTATCCTGATATGTCTGATATTCTGACTTCTCTTCAAAATGCTTCAGCACTGATCACTCTAAACGAAAACTTAGAAAGCTATGTTTCGTTTGTTTTCGTTAATCAGAACGACTTCAGCCCTATGAATCAATATCGATATCCCTGTATAGAGCGCTATGACAGAACTTCTGCAATTACGTTCATATATTTTTTTTTACCGTAAAAGTCATCAATAATGTTAGTTTTTGCTATTAACATGAACTAATAACACTCTTTATTTAGAGGAGCACCGGCTAGTTACAAACGTTCTTCAGACAGAACTTCCGTGTAATGGTCATGCTTGTTCGAAATGT